TCTGAAATATTACACAACCTCAACACTTGCTCTTAGTTTCCACAATTGAAGTCGCAAAATTTTATCAAAACAGGTGCATATATCTTCCATAGACAGAATAACAGTTAAAAGACGTACCCTTGAAAGAGGTTGTACAATTGGTATTTCCCGTTGAGTGACCAGTTCCGGGCCGTTTTCCATCTCAAGAGATGGAAATAGAGGCGTAGCTGGAGGAGTTTTCAACCTTAATGTTGACAAGAGGTTGTGTAGTTCAATTATTACTGAAACTTCCATGATTCAATAGCTACTATACAGACAGATATCTTACTTACCAGTCATAGTCATTCTTCCCACCTTCACCAAGTGGGTCATATGCTGCTCCCTTCTTCCCAGTTGGTGCCATTCCATTGAGCGCATATCCTGGATATAACTTTCACCAACTCAATCAGTAACTAATGCAAGACACAAGCTGCATTCGATATCTCGAGGGCAGCTCCAGCTGTGAATTAAAGAACTTACCATTTGCCTCAAAATCATCGGAAACAGGCGCAAGAAGGCTAACAACATGATCCTTTTCGCGCTTATGCAGTTCCCTGAACAACAGAAGATCTTCATCCTTGTCTTTGGTACGATTAGGCCTTGGATTGGGGATGTTTTTGCGCGTGCCAATGCCATCACCGCCTTTCCTTATACTCATCTTTTGTCAAGAAGAGTACTAGGTTTTCTTTACAAACTCAGTAGTAAACGATGCCTGGAGAACTGCTGTTGATATAATGAGCAAAATGATACTCCAATTGGAATGTCTGTCCATCCCATTCCCATCACGTACTATCCTAGCTCTAGAAAATGTGCAACCCCCGCCTGTAGCCGGCGGATTATTAAAGGTTTTTGCCAATAGAGACAGACAAAAAGCGCCAAGTACAAGGACATCTGCAGTGTGCAGACAGAAACATTTGGCACCTCTGGATGCAATTGTGGACAGCAGACTAGGTGTGAGGAATCGTCTTCATCCAGTCGCATTCTACTTAGTACTATGGTTCGCTGTCGCGGGTCGTGGTCGCGTCGCAATCTTGATTGTTTCACATCTGTCGCGGCATATTGGTTGAATATCAAGTGATATGCACATTATAGCACATAAAAGTTTCCAAAAAATCTGAAAAAATTACTAAAATTATTAAATATGAAAAAGCACAATTTAAAAAATATATCCGAATCGACTCCGAGTTGACTAGGATATATCAACCGATATCATACATCACGAATTCGAATCAGCTAATATCGATCGAGTCAGAGCGAATCATCGTGAATATTATAATATCTGCAATTCAGAGATCGGTATTATACCAATCCCCTCCGTTCCGGTTATGACTTGGCCGATACATATTGGTAACCATGCTTAGTACAGCGTTTCATAAGTTGACAATGGAGATATAGTCCAATACTTCTTCAAAATCTGTTGTAAGATCACTCTCCTGCAATTACAATTTTATTATTCACAACAAAGTCAAAACCGGAGGAGATTGATCTCAATCCAGCCTTCTTTCATCGTCACTGGTTTTTTTTTTCAGACTTCCAGTCGCTCCAAGTGCTTGTTCCTCCAAACCGTCTTCTAGTCCAGCCACCATTGAAGCTTGGATGATGCTTTTCCATCTTTCAATTCTCAATTACTACTACTTAATGCATACTTAAAGAAAGCAATCTTTTGATTAGTTCATTAAATCTCAATTTCAATTTTTATGCTTTTCCCCCTCTTTTTTTCATATATATATATATATATATATTCTTACTATAATCTTGATGATTGATGTGCATGTAATGTTCATTTATCTATGTATGTAAGTACTAAAAGTACACATTTGATTCGTATCTATTATTTGTTATGATTGCAATGAAGTTGATTATAAGTTTTATTTTATTTTTTCAAAAGGCATAAAATTGAGTAATTTTATATTGACATCCATTGTTAATTAAATATTACCTTATAATCTTATCACATTCATATAAATTAATATCAACTAATGTATATCGCTATACCTCTATTATCTTCATCATTCATAAGAATATTTTATATCATGTATTCATTCATGTGTTATAAGTTTCATTTCTAGTACAACAATTGACAACTAAATCATAAGGATAGAACTTGAGCAACTAAATCATTTCAATTTTTTTACGAAAATCATTATCTTGGCTCTTTCTGTTTCAACAGCCACAACAAAGTGTGCTTTTTTCTGCTATGAAAAAAATTATTAAATCTTGTTTGCATTCTAGAATGGAGAAAGACTTTCTTGCTTGTTCTATGATAAGGTGCGTTGAGAAAGAGATTGCTAGAACTTTTGATATGGAATCAATAACAGTTGAGATGCATAAGTCCTTGTTAGCATGGCCGTACGGCAATAATTGATTTTGTCATCAAAGAATACGATAGATGAAGTACGTTGCCCATTATATAGTAACATTATAGCATGATAATCTGGGCCAAATTGTAAAAATGATTCTAAACATTTCTAGTAAAAGAAACACTTGAATAGACACAGAAAAAGGAGTGTCAAATAGGGTTGTAAATGAATCGAGTCCCTCGCGAGCGGCTCGAGTCGAAATCGAGCTCGAACTCGAGCTCAAAATATATTAAGCTCGTTAGCTCGCGATCCAGCTTGCGAGCTTGAGTGTATATATATATATATAATATTTTTTATTTTTTTATTTTAAGTATATATATATTTTTTATTTTAAGTGTATATATATATTTTTTATTTTCTTATTTTAATAGTAAAATTACATATATATATCCTTAATATTTTATATTTATTAAGAAAAAATATTATTTTATTTATTTTTTAAAAAATAAAATAAACATTTTTATTTTTTTCGAAATCAAGTTTTCAATTGCCGGCTCGTCGAACTCGAGCTCGAGTTCGAGTTTGGTAAAATTTAATCGAGACTCGGCTCGATTTAGCCCAAAGTTTGACTCGACTCGGCTCGTTTGCAGCTCTAGTGTCAAACATGGCTTAATTAGGGTCAAAAGATGAATCAAACTAATTAATTCTCGAATCGAGTTCTCTTTTGGTTAGAGTTCGTTCAAGTTTGGTTCGTTAACTGGTCAAGTCAAGTTTGAACAATGTTTTATGTTCGATATTCATTCAGACTCAATAAAAAAAAAACTCAATTTGATAAATGAATGAATCAAAGTTGAATAAGATTTCAAACTCATTAAAATAATCAAATAAATTTGAACACTAGAATATTCGATTTGATTAGACTCATTTACACCCCTATACTGGAAATAAAATTATGCATCTTCAGCAGAATAAAGTTGAGCCCACATCCTGATTTATCATGATAATGAGATTAAAATCCAATTTTGCTTAAAATTTATTTCTTGGCCATCATGGTTATCAATTTAATGCGTGCTTTGGTGTGAGAACATCGAAACTGTGTATCTACTTGGAAGAAACAAATGACAGCCGCTGCGTTGGTCGATAAATTGCTTCAATTCGAAGATTCCTCGACTACAAGAAACTTATAGATTAAAAAGTTTTGTTTGATTTTCTTTACATTAATTCATTACTTTTCTATACATCCATTCCTTTCCTCCTCAATTTGCTGCGTCGTTCCCTCCGTCAATCGCTGTCCCTTCCTTTGGGCTTTCTTGGGCTGTGTTGGTCTATTGGACCATTTTGTTTATTTGTTGGCAGCAGCATTCGGATACTTTTTTGCAATGTTTTTTTTTTTTAACAAGTCTATTTGAAATTATATAATTTTCATTTTTTATATCAAAAATAATTTTATATTTTCATTGAAAGATGTAGTAAAAGTAGCAAATATATCAAAAACATGTAGCAGATAGGCAATTTTTTTTAAAAAAAGAAATTCCTATCAAATCTCTCTCTCTCTCTCTCTCTATATATATATATATATAACTTGTATAGTTTCCTCGAGTAGCAATTGCTTGGACGGGTAAGTCTTGTGGGTTCCCCCTTAAGTTGAGTGAGACTCTTTTTGGTATGCGTTGAGTTATAGTTAAATTATCCCCCTGTACTGTCGTTTGTTGGAAAAAAGTATAATTTCTTCGAGTGTACGTGAAGTTTCAGTACATTAGTTTGTAAATGTATATGATTATATATGGTAAATTTTATTTTAATCTAACAAAGTTTAAAGGGTATATCTCTTAGTGTATACTAACATTGTACTATATTAGTAGTTTAGATACAGGTCACATATATAAATTTTGGAGTTCAAATTTAAACTGAGATGATGTGATATACTATAAGTATATAAAAGATTAATCTGTCTAACTAGTGCCTATTAAGATGGAGTTCAGGTGTTCATATTTTGAAAAAATAATATTAATTAGAGAAAACATATAAATATAAAATATGATAATAATTGTTAGTGTATGAATTCATTTGATAAATTAGGCGCGATATAAGTTAGAAAAACCCATAAAGGATTAATCAACATAAAAAAAGTAATGAATAACAACTTCTGTCATGGTAGTTAAATTATTGCATTGACAAATCTAGTGAACAATAAATAGTACAACGGATCTTCTGTCCCACACTTTGTTTCACTCTCTGTGCCACTTTTTATCATATTACTATTTTTCCTACATAAATATCATGTTTTAGTTCTTTTTTGTTTTCTTAAAATTCAATAACTATTAATTGAGTAATACACAAAATTTAACAAACTAAAAAAAAATGGAATATAATAAAGTGGGACAGAAGATCGATTGCGAATAAATAGTCCTCATCTTACCATATCCAAAATTTTTTCTTAATTTCTTTTTTTTTTTGGAATTGAGTTAGTATGACTTTTTTTTTTTGGTTTGTTTTGGAAAGCAAGGAGAAAAATAAAAATATTAAGAAAAAATAATGGAATAAGTAATAAACAAGTAAATAAACGAAAAAAACGGAGCGCACATTTGAAAATTTTTCTACCAGCATCCAAACGTGGCCCAACTTTAAACCTTTTTCGGTTGGTCCGAGTCTTTCCAGCAGAGGGTTTTTGCATTTTTGGGCCTCTGCCCCAATTCTTGCTTCCACTGGAAGCTAAAAGAGTAATAGTAGCAGTTCCAACATCCAACAGGCGATGCTGCGAGCCGGTTCCACCGCCGCCGGCCGTGCCATCCGGCTGCTACACCGCAGCAGCAGCATCACCGCCCGCCATTATTATGCAGTAGCTACTTCCTTTCTTCCAAATTTGACTGCTCCTCTTGGTCTCCCAATAAGCAACAATGACAGTTTTGATCATAGTTTCCATAATAATGTGAGCTGTAAGTGTACCACGCTTGGATTTTCAGCTTATTCCACGGTGGCAGGGACGGCTGCGGCCGCAACGAGTTCTTCTGAAGTTGATTTTGTAAATTTGGCGGTAGAAGCAGAGTTGCCGCGGTTGAGCTGTGGAGGAATCGGGGATGCGTATTCAGCGATAGAGCTGGCATTGGATTCTGTTGTGAAGATTTTTACTGTGTCGAGTAGCCCTAATTACTTCCTCCCTTGGCAGAACAAGTCTCAGCGCGAAACCATGGGTTCCGGTTTGAACCTGTTGACTGTCTTGTACTGTCGTACAATAATTTCAGTATCTTGTATCTTGTATAAATGCGGTGTTTAAGCATAGCTTAATCTAGTCTAATGCAGTTATGTGGTTGATTTTCTTGCTTTCTGAAGAATTTTTTGTTTAACTGATCAAGACTTTTTTTTTTTTTTTTTTTAAATTGCTCAGTGGAAGGAAAGAAATCCAGTAGACAAATGAAGTGACAAGAAAGTCTTGAAATTTGTTTGAACCTAAACCTTTGGTCTCTACTCATCATTTTTTTTTCTCTGCATCGTGTTGAAAAGAACTTCTGACAAACTTTGCTAACTGCTGACCTCAATCTATTATCATGTTTTGATTTCCTGCGAAATCTTTAAAGCTTTACTATAACGAGAAGAAATAGTGACACAAGGTCTTGAAAGCATTAGCATTTTCCAATTTCACATGTTTATTCGTCTGGTGAAATTGTAGGCTTTGAGAAATTGAAACTAGACAATGACAATATGTAATCTTTAATTGCTTATTCTGTGGAAATCTTGTAGGCTTTGTTATTCCTGGAAAGAGGATCCTTACAAATGCTCACGTGGTTGCTGATTATACATTTGTCCTTGTAAGAAAACATGGTTCTCCTACCAAGTATAGAGCTGAAGTCCAAGCAGTTGGTCATGAATGTGACTTGGCTATTCTGGTTGTTGAAAATGAGGAATTTTGGCAGAACATGAGTCCTTTGGAGCTTGGCAACATTCCGTATCTTCAAGAAGCTGTAGCTGTTGTTGGTTATCCCCAAGGTTAAGATCTTGCGGTACACAAGCGAAATGCCAGTTTGTTCCACTTATCATGTTGTTCCCATTAAGCATGTTGGAACAGAAGTATTTATTATGTGAAAATGATAATGTGGAAATTGTTGTGATGCTGGATCATTATCATTTAGAAATTGCTTTAGTAGACTTTCATGCACAGAAACTTAGATATATAGAAATGTACAGAGTGCCTAACTCTTTCCGGTTCCTGAATATAGTCATATCAAATACCAGTTCAACTAGTAAGTAGCATGGCTCGATGAGATCTATGAAATGTTTGGTAATGCTTTCAGATGTATTTCTGGCCAATTTTGGAATGCTCAAGCTCAAAAAATGATCAAGAACTTGTGGTTTGCTTTTTTTTTTTTTTCAATCAATATCTGGTATTTTAGCCCATTATATGTTATAATACAAGAATTGCAATTTTTTTCCTGAGACTACCTGAAAGGTTATAATCAAGAGAAATGGAGAAAGGCCTTGAAAAACTCATATGTGAAGATTGTCTAAAATACTTTTAGTAGCACAATCATATGAGTATAATCGTATATGAACTAGAACAATACAGTCTTTAGATGTTCCTTATGTACGCTCAACTGTTATTCCTTTGCCTTTTTTATTATTTATTTATCTTTCTTTTCCCCCTTCCTTTTCCCGATGTTTGTTGATTGGTTTTTGTGTCGTTATCTCATTTAAAAACCAGTTCCCTGGACTTTCAGGCTATTTGACCAGAAATTGGCACTAATTGCAGGTGGGGATAACATTTCTGTTACAAAAGGGGTTGTCTCTAGAGTTGAACCGACTCAGTACGTACATGGTGCAACACAATTGCTGGCAATACAGATTGATGCTGCCATAAATCCTGGGAATAGTGGAGGCCCAGCAATTATGGGTGACAAAGTTGCTGGAGTGGCTTTTCAAAACCTCTCAGGTGCAGAGAATATTGGGTGAGTTATACAATCTTACACATTTGTGCCTTAACTAAAAGTCTAACGGTCAATGTGTTCTGTCTATACAGTTTTCTCTATATTCCTGGCTGGTGATGAATAGCATCTTAGAGATATGTAGAAGTTAGGTATCCCAGCATCAAGGTTGGACATAAAGACTATTTAGAGCTCGCAATATCAAAGGCATTGTGTCATTAGCTATCACCATTTTTATTGGACAGAATTTTGCACTTCTTACTCAATACAAAACTCCCTTCCCATATTCTGTTGTATGATCCTATTTTTTAAGTGGGACCATATCTGCCTTATAGGGTGCATGTGAAAGTTCATAGTCATGAATCTACTAATTGTGTGCCATGATGATGAATTTTACAGATACATTATCCCTGTCCCTGTAATAAAACATTTCATTGCTGGCGTTGAAGAAAGAGGAAACTATGTGGGATTCTGCTCCTTGGGTTTGTCATGCCAGTCAACTGAAAATTTGCAACTTCGAGAACACTTTCATATGCATCCAGGTTTGACGGGGGTGATGGTGAGCAAAATTAACCCACTCTCCAATGCACATAAAGTTTTGAAAAAGGATGATATTCTCCTCTCATTTGATGGTGTACCCATTGCAAATGATGGAACAGGTAAAGTATTGTCTTTAATTTGTGGTATTGGGGGTGGCATTCAAATGTCCTGCAATGGATTATTGCATATTTTTTTGTTTTTGGTGAAGCTTAACAAGAATGTTTGTCAGATTTAATCCTTTTTTCAGATTGACATTTACCTAATTTTGACATCAAAAGAGTTTTTCTATTTTACAAACTGCCAAAAAAGGGAAATATCTAACAGTTACTTGCGAGGAAACTGGTAACCTTTTACTACTCAATTTACGTTTCTCCAGCCTTTCATGATCAGTTAAATTTATGTAGCAACGAGGGCAATCTTGTTAAGCTTCTTACATGGTTCATTTTGCTTTAGCAAAGTTGGTTTCTAAAAAAAAATAATCAAAAGATCTGTTGAGATGAGATTTGCCAGACCACACTGGTAACTTAGCCAAATTTTGCTGAAGCTATTCCTTTTTGACTCACGAACATTTTGCTTCTGCATTCTGGATTTTAGAAGATAAACACTACCTGAGGATGCAAAAAATTTGCTATTTTATATTGAAGTTGGTGCTCCTTGGTATGAATACTTCCATGCTAAAACCTTATGTCAAGTTTGGATAAAAGATACATTTTCTTAAATGGGGCGTTTAACTTCTTCTGATTAAAGGAATTTTACCCCTGTGTATCTATAGGCAAAGCTTAATTTTAAAACGTTGGAAGCTTTTGCTTGTTCTCGGTACCTGAATTAAAAGCCTTAACTCTAATTGGCAGAATCAGCAGCTAGAAATAAAATACATTATTTTGTTTTGCAGTTCCTTTCCGTAACAGAGAGCGAATTACGTTTGATCATTTAGTCTCCATGAAGAAACCAAATGAAACTGCTGTACTTAAGGTATTAAGGAATGGTGAAGAGCATGAGTTCGATATTACCCTCCAGCCGGTAGGTCATTATGTCTCTTTCTCATGATTGTCAAATTTTCTTCTTTCTACGCCTGTAAACTATCTCCTCACACATCTGCAAATCTATCCTGCATATATGTCAACACTTACATGAGAAGGCCAGGAAATGCTTTTGAAACACACTGATTTTGTAGCACATGCCTCTAATCCTGCCAAATTTAGGTTGAATGGAGTCATGTCCTGTGCCTTGAGAAATCTACTTCATTTAAAAAAAAAAAAAAAAAAAACTAAGCAATTTTTGCCATGACTCTACAAATGTGTTTGTTTATTTACCTTAAAGTGCTAGCTTTGGAACCACGATTTCCAAAGGCTTAAAACTCTTGACACTTGGTGACAGATATTGGCTCTTGTTACGGAGTTATGTGGTTGATGGATTTGCAAAAGTAGGCTTTTGCATACAGTTGAGTCCTATTTGCAAACGTGTTTGCTAATTATTTGCAAGACCTTTTGACGGAATACATCCCCCCAAAAGCTCATCATCTGTTGCTATAACATCATGCAGTTGCAGCCGTTAGTTCCAGTTCATCAATTTGATAAGCTCCCAAGTTACTTCATTTTTGCTGGTCTGCTCTTTGTACCCCTTACACAACCGTACCTTCATGAATATGGAGAAGATTGGTATAATACATCCCCTCGTAGATTATGTGAACGAGCACTAAGGGAATTACCAAGAAAAGCTGGTGAACAACTAGTCATTCTTTCTCAGGTGTTCAAAAATTTTCTCTATTTACTCTTTCTCCGAATTTTCTTGAAGTTACTTTCCTATGTGAAAGATATTGCACTTGCCAAGTGTTGATTAGTTTTGCATTTAACCGAACAATCAACTTCTTGATTTAGGTGTTGATGGATGATATCAATACTGGTTATGAGCGTCTTGCCGAATTACAGGTAGAGTTTTTTCTTGCTTTTTATTATGTTATACCATTTTCTACTACAACAATTTGCATGGCATCTAAGGATACGAACCAGCTGATTTTCTGCTGACATGAATAATCTCTGAATTATTGCACAGGTGAAGAAGGTGGATAATGTGGAAGTCGAGAATTTAAAACATCTGTGCCAACTCGTTGAAGGCTGTGAGAAAGAAGCTATAAGATTTGACTTGGATGATGAAAGGGTGATTGTTTTGAACTATAGTATGGCAAAAGTAGCCACATCTCGTATATTACAACGACATAGAATCCCTAATGCAATGTCTGGTGATCTTCTTAATAATGAACGAAAAGTGTCAAACATTTCATCAGCGTGTTCGAGCTGAGTTCTTTTGTTACTCTTTATTTGAGCGTTCACCTTAATTTTGTAGTTTCAAATTCGAAAAGTATTAATGAGTTTTTATTCTTGATGAGCAAATCATTGAACTGAAAAAACTAACCTTTGCAGAGAATATTTCACAATTCGATCTGCGCGTAACATTGTGGTACAAAAACTGTAGAATTTTGACATACAAATAAGAGGCTAAACTAAATAATGATTGCTTAGTCTGAATTATTGTATGTTACTTCTATCAAGCATGAAATTCTTCATGAAAGGTTGTGATTTTAACAACTGCGGTCATTTTGAATTGGTATTATCCTCGAGTAAAGGGAGATGCTCCTAAATGTGTTGATCTTCTTCATTCTCCCTAGCAGCTAGTAGAGCACAGACACTGAGCTAAATGTGGAAATGGAAGTCCCCTGCCGAGCTTAAACCTTTGCTATTGAGGCTAACTGTCGGAATTTTTTTTTTCAGCAACGTATAACTTATTTTATCCTATTCTAGTGGAATACCATCAGAGGAAACCATTGAAGTGACAAGTCACAAATAGTGATCGGTAGAATGCAAGTTTTGAATCCTTGACTTCCCACTCATAACCAAGATTTAAAGTCTTGACGGTGACCAACAGATCAAATAACCGTTGGCTTTTCGTAATATGTCATTTTGAAGTGACAAGTCACAAATAGTGATCGGTAGAATGCAAATTGTGAATCCTTGACCTCCCACTTATAACCAAGATTTAAAGTCTTGACGGTGACCAACAGACCAAATGGCCGTTGGCTTTTTGTAATATGTCATTTGGAGCTCTGCTGACTACATTGAATATTAAATGGAGTCTCGAAGGAAATTACATATTTTTATCACCTTATTCTCGGTTGCTATAGATTTTATAAAATTTAATTATAGAAACTAATTATAAATTAACAAAAGCTATTTTTTGTGTGATCATAGATTTTAACTTTTTTTTTAGTCATTAAAAAATGTATAATCATAACACAAAAGCAGCTAAGAATAAGTAAGTTGGATGTCAATTGCCGTTTGTGTGAAATTGCAAGTCCAGCTTCGGACCCCAAATGGAAAAGGGTCAATTGCTATTTCTGACAATTCTATACTACCAATGGGCTGTCACAATCCGTGTTGAGCTGTAAATTGTCCTCCGCAAGAAATCATATACATATCCAAGAGCGCGGATACAAGAAAGCGTGATTGAATGCTTTCTGATTTTGTGACCTGTCAGCTTTCACATATTAACGATTTCATTTCAGTTACTTGTCACAAACTGGAGCAAAACAAAAACAGCTTCCACGAACGCGGATAATGACTAATGATTAGCTGTTCGGCGCGTTTCCAATGTCCAGGAATTTGGTTTATTCTTCACCTGACGGCGCGCATCGCGTGCCATTTAATTTGGGAAGAGTTTAGGGATAAATTAAGGATTTGATTATCATGGTCATGACTCGGAGGTATAGATTTTTTTTTGAAGGATTAGAGGCATAGATTCATATCCTACAAGTTGTGAGATTAGTCATACTTTATTTTAGTATTTATCCCACCAAGCATAGGTAGCTTGTAATTAGTGGGTGTTAGTCATAATTGATCAGTTATAAGTTGTGTGGATGTTGATATTAATAGGGCAAGGCCAACTCGAACCCGACACGTTTAATAAAAAAAAGTTCGCCTCAAGTAGAGTTTTAATTGGGTCAAATAGAGTTTAGACTTAAACGTTAGATTGAAATTAAATGTGAATCAAGTTTGGATTATGGTAAGGTTAAACTCGATTAAAACTCAAACCGTTTATATATATATATAATTATAATTATACATATTATGACATAAAATGTTAATAATTTATATATAAATTTATGGTAATTCATAATTATAAAAAATATTTTCTATAATTATGTATTTAATTATGAGTTTGGGCCAAGCCTAATTTGAGACTAAAACTCATATAATAGGTGATTTTGGTTCCCAATCTTTCAACATGGTGTGGACTAGACCATTTTCCCCCCTTCTCTTATTGCCCCTTTTCCACCAATCAAGGTTCATTTCCAGAAAAAGTCTGTTGTGTATATATTATCAATAGACAAGTGTCGGGATTCCCTTTTTACAATAAATAAATATATAAATTTATGGTAATTAAAATAGAAGGAGATATAGAATATGTGTGCTTCCCGCGTGTGGGAAATGAGGCGGTCAAAACTCAAGAAGAGAGGTTCGGCAAAAATGAAGGGAGGCCCTGTGTGAACGATGAATGCGGGCATTTGCCGAGTAATTAACTCCAATGGTTGGCCACTGCTTGTTTCCCTCCCTCAACCCCAATCCTATAAGAAGGCCTCAGAACTTGATCTTCCTCAGAGGCACTTGATTGAGTAAAGACCAAAAAAAAAAAAATAAAAGGAGAAGGAGGAAAAAAAAAAAAAAGAAGAAAAAATCAGAAAATGGGTAGCAAAATTCTAAGTACTGTAGCAGTGTTTCTGTTCTGCCTCTCTACATCATTGATTGTTAATGCTGAGGATCCTTACCTGTTCTACGAATGGAATGTCAGCTATGGCACCATTGCACCCTTGGGTGTTCCACAGCAGGTCATTCTCATCAACGGCGAGTTTCCAGGTCCGAGGATCAACGGCACTTCCAACAACAATGTTAACGTCAATGTCTTCAACAACCTTGATGAGCCTCTCCTTTTCACATGGAATGGTGTTCAGCAGAGGAAGAATTCTTGGCAAGAAGGTTTGTTGGGAACCAGCTGTCCCATTCCTCCGGGGACAAACCACACCTTCCGTTTCCAGGTGAAGGATCAGATTGGTAGCTACTATTACTATCCCTCCACGGCATTGCACAGGGCAGCTGGTGGTTATGGTCCCCTCACCGTGGTCAGCCGTGACCTTATCCCCGTTCCCTTTGATGCACCCGAGGCCGATTACACCATCATGGCGGGTGATTGGTACAGCAAGAGCCATGTCGCCTTGAGGAAGCTGCTGGACAGCGGTCGCACTCTTGGCAGGCCAGATGGTGTCTTGATCAATGGCAAGAGCGGAAAAGCTGACGGCAAGGACGAGCCAATGTTCACCATGATCCCTGGAAAGACCTACAGGTACAGAGTTTGCAATGTAGGAATGAAGAACTCACTCAACTTCAGGTTCCAGGGCCACACAATGAAGCTGGTTGAGATGGAGGGATCCCACACCATGCAATATTTGTACGATTCCTTGGATCTGCACTTGGGACAGTGCGCGTCTGTTTTGGTGACAGCCGACAAGGAACCAAAGGACTACTACTTCGTTGCTTCAACCAGATTCACCAAGCAGATCCTCAGCGCCACCGCCACCATCAGGTACACCACTGGAAAGGGCCCTGCCTCGCCCGAGCTGCCCCCTGCCCCGGTCGGATGGGCCTGGTCTCTCAACCAGTTCCGCTCATTCAGATGGAACCTCACCGCCAGCGCTGCCAGGCCTAATCCACAGGGTTCCTACCACTACGGACAGATCAACATCACCCGCACCATCAGAATTGTGAACTCTGCTGGCGAAGCCGACGGCAAGCTCCGCTACGCAATCAATGGCGTCTCTCATGTTGACCCCGAAACTCCATTGAAACTTGCTGAATACTTTGGCGTTGCAGACAAAGTTTTCAAGTACAACATCATTCAGGACGAGCCATCTGCAGATGCCACGGCCAAGAATCACGCCATCACTCTTGCTCCCAATGTCGTCAATGCCACCTTCCGTAACTTCATCGAGATCATCCTTGAGAACCATGAGAAGACCGTTCAGAGCTGGCACTTGGATGGATACTCTTTCTTCGCTGTTGCGTAAGCATCATCTACGCATCTTTAAATTTTTCTTTACTACTACTTTAAAACAGGAAGTGGGCTTCCTTAACTACGTACAGAGCAATATCTGATTCTCCTCTTTTAACATCATCGATTCCATGGTTGATTTGATTGGAAACAGGATCGAGCCCGGGACATGGACACCAGAGCGGAGAAAGGTCTACAATCTGCTTGATGCAATCAGCAGGAACACGATTCAGGTGTATCCAAAATCATGGGCAGCCATCATGCTGACTATGGACAATGCTGGAATGTGGAACTTGAGGTCAACTCTGTTGGAGAGGCAATACTTGGGACAGCAGCTCTACTTCAGCGTTCTGTCTCCAAATTACTCTCTCAGGGACGAATACAACGTTCCAGACGATGCTCTCCTGTGCGGTATTGTCAAGGACATGCCTAAACCAAAGCCATACAGCGTATAAACAAGAACATTCAAGTGGATCTCCTTCAATGCCTTCTTTTTCCTCGGAGGAGGGAAGGAATGTGGCTTCGCTATCATAATAAAACATTATTAACATTGTGAAGATATAAATAAAGTTGTAATATTGTGAGCCATGAAAAACGGCCACAACATTTAACAATGAGTTAGATTTATTTGTATAGCATGGCATTGGCGTATAGTAAAACTCAGAAAGCAGGCCTCTGCAAGAATTTTGTGGTCAACAATAATAATTACCTGAGTACCTTTCTTGTCTATGCTTCCTTTCTCTTTTCTTTTCTTTTTTTTTTAAAATTTCCAGTAACATTCTTTTGTACCGCTGCCTGTGTGTAATTGATAATGTGATGGCCTATTTGCATAGTGTGCAATACTTGGAACGATGGATTGGAATCTTAACATCATACACAAAATTTTTTTTTTAAAACAACTATTTATAGATTTATAGATTTTAATTATCGATGATAAGTCTTTTAATATTACTATTATGATAATTCAATTCAACATTCAAATTTAATGAATTCAAATGTTCAAATTCGTTTGATAATCAAATATAGAACATCTGAATAAATTAAATCAAGTGACACTTAATTTTTTATATAGACAAAATTTGCTTCAAATTACTATTTGACAATTCAGTAACATATTCACACTTTTCAGTTTTATCAAACGACAAAATTTAAAACTTTTGTATTATTATTTGTACCGACGACTAAAGGCCATAAATGTCCAAATTTGATTTCATTGGATAATATTTGTCTTCATTATATTTATGCATGTATTCTTTTTCTTGTTTGCATGTACTCTCTTCTTCTTGTCGTTCCTCCAAATAGA